AATCAGGACAACCATAAGGCCGAGGCCTCTACGTCCTGGAAGATTGGATTGGATTGGATTCGATCTAAGGTAACCAAGGTCACGCACGATTTGAAATATTGTGTAATGTGTATTTGATTCCAAAGAACTTCACCCAACCCATATGAGCGATGCGAACGACTGAATTCATTGAGGCTAAGATACAACAACGTCCAATTTTACTGGTTGCCAAAGAGAATCTGTCAAACTGCGCTGAAATCGAGGGCATATTGGAAACATACAATTTGAACAATAAACGACCGGATATGTATGAAGTATTATATATAGACTCGAGACAGGATTGCTCGGTAATCGAAACATATCTCTGGCATAAGCTTATATACAGAAAACGCCATGTAAGTTGCTAGATGCTAATTAGTGTTGTACGCGTACGACTTACTTGTGTCGTTTAAAATTTTAAACGATGTCTCATATGATATCACAGACATATATACCATCGATGGCATATATATATATATAACTATTAGAAGGCTTACTTTTTCTGAGTTTCCGTTAAGCATATGCCTTGCGCATTAATGTGCAAATTTCGATAAGTAGATTAAGCGTGGCTCCGGCGCATGTGACAATGCGTCCCTCCAATGTCGAATCAGCAATCAACACTCTACCAAACGCGTCTTCATTCTTGGGGACTACTTCGCTCACGGACATCCAGCAGCCGATCAGCCCACTGACTTACGCGGATGTTGTTGTTCGCTCCCCAAGTCCTGTGATGACACGTAGTATTGGACCCAGACCATCTGACACATGCGAAGTTCCGCCACAACCCGAACCTTTATTGCCTGTGTCTACCTCTCCCCCGGCTACTCGTCGCAGGATAACCGATGGCCGGGGAATCTACTGGATCTCGGTCAGCGGAAACGTCGGTGGCTGCCGTATCTAATCCTCAGATCAATGCAGCAAATCGTTCAAGTATACCATCCAGTCACCAGTGCATTATCGTGGTTAACCTACCGGAGTCAGTGGATATATCCATAGAATCACGCCTTGACCATGATATACTGCGTTTACGAGGCTGTCTGCAGAAGGTGTTCGACGGATCTGAGGAGGCATTAGCCAATTCCATCAAGGTGAAATATGCATTCTGACTAGGTCGTCCGTCGGCAACCGAAAATTCCCGACCTCTGAAGGTAGCATTTGGCACTGTTGATGAAGTTCATCTCATTCTACAACGTGCGTCGCGCCTGAAAGGGGAAAGGTCAGATTGCTGCGTGATCTCGCCCCAGAGGAGCGGATTAAACTGAAAGCGGCACTGACGGAACTCCATACCAGGCGAATTAACGGTAAGTGTGACCTCGCGGTTAGAGATTTTCGGGTGGTGAAGAAAACACGGATCTGCCGGCTTCTGTTTGTTTCGGTGCTGTCAGGACAAGCGACCCTGGCGCCCTCGGCGACAGAGCCGCAGTAGTCGCAATGCCAAGTCTTGTCCGAGGGATTCCCTTCCTGTTCTTTTAGGTAAGGGGGATGCTCAATAAGCGGGATGAGTTGGAAACGTGGGTTGCCGAACATGCCCCAGTGATGACAGCCTTAGCAGAGACGTGGCTATATCAGGTGTCTGACGCTGAAATTCCACTCGTAGGATACAGCATGTTTCGTACTCAGAGGTTAGTCTCGAGATCCGGTGGTGGTGTGATCTTCTACACCAGAGAAGATTGTCCTACAATTAACCTTCAATCGATCGCTGATCCTGAAGGGTACGCTGAGGCAGTGTGGTGCGAAGTGAAGGTGGGGCGGGCCGGGTACTGACAGTCGGACCGGTGTACAGAGCCCCTTCAGACAATGTTCAGAATATTCTGCACAGCATCCGGCGTTGGACCACAGGCGGACGTTGCTTACTTTTGGGAGATTTCAACGCTCCCAATATCGACTGGAAGGCCGCAGTATGTGGTTATCGTGAGGGAACGTTTGAACGGCAGCTACATGAGTTGTTGGAATTCCTCTCATTCTACCAACATTTGCGGGATCCTACACGATTCCAGGGGAGTTCGGCGTCGGGGCTAGACCTTGTCATATCACCGAGACGATTAGACGTGGTAGATATGGTTCGTCTGATCCCATCGGATCAAGTGATCATGTGTCGATCATTATTTTCTTATCATGAAAGCCGCTCAGCAGCGTCCCAATGTGTGGAAGATGCAAAACGAGGAATTGCGAGCGGCTGCTCAGTCCGCCCAGTGGCCGGTAAATGATGAGGTCGAAACCAGGTGGGGTGAATTCAAGGACAATATATACAACCTGGTCAGCACGTTGGCACCACCCAAGTTAGTCCGGTCTTACGCCAAAAGTCTCCCGTGAACTTCGGAACCTTCTTTGCAGACGCAGAAGAGCCTAGAAATGTTTCCAGCAAACCGACTGGGGATATGAGTATTACCAAGCTATCCGTTGGAACGTTGAAAACCAGCGACCTTCGAAGACAGCTTGGCATCTACCGCACATAAGAGGCTCCTTGCTTATCTGCGNAGAACCAGGGTTCTAACCACTCTACCTCCAATTCTGGACCGCAGAACACTGAAGAATAACCCGGGTGAACAGGCTGACATATTCGCACGGTATTATGCAACTATCTAACAGTCAAAGGAGCCATTGCCTGCCAGTTTGTATACTCAGGACCCTAGCTCGCCCACTTTGGCGGTTCCCAGGTTCAACCCATGTGAAGTCCAGGTCGACCTGGAGAACCTGAACATAAATCAATTTTCGGGTCTGAATGGACCGCATCCCAAGGTGTTAAAGGAGCTTGCGGTTGTGATGTCGGCCCCTCTCTGTACCTTGTTTAGCAGTTCCCTAAAATGTGGTCGACTCCAAGTGGATTGGAAGAGTGCGTTGATATCGCCCCTGTTTAAGAGTGGTTCAAGGGCAGATCCGGCGAACTACCGTCCTGTCAGTTTGACATCCATCTGTTGCTAAGTAATGAAACGTTTGATCTCTAGCAGACTGCATCACCATCTGACGGAGTGCTAACTGCTATGCCACCAACAGCGCGGTTTTCGCCCAAGGAGATCCTGCCTTTCAAACCTTCTTCTGGCCAGGGAGGAATGGTCTGACGCCAAGGTCAGTGGGACAGTCACGGATATTGTATATGTCGACTTCAGTAAAGCCTTCGACAAGGTTCCACACGGCAGGCTGCTTCTGAAGTTGAGAAGCTTTGGAAAGGCGGATCCAATACTCACCTGAGTGGAGGATTTTATGAGGAGTCGAAATTTTGTGGTGAGGATTCGAGATTCAATATCCTCGGGGCACCCAGTCCTCAGTGGAGTTCCGCAAGGTTCAGTTCTCGGCCCCGTGCTGTTCCAGCTGTACATCAACGATCTCCCCAGCCAGTTGCAATCACCATGCCTCGTCTACGAGGATAATTTGAAACTATGGAGACCACTTCAATCGTCACTAGAGGCGACTGTCTTACAAGCTGATTTGGACAGACCTGATTGGGCGCTCCCCATCAACAATGCCAATTGTGCACACACAAAAATAAGTCGCAGTGGCCTTAGGCCGGTCTACACTTTAAACAACGTTCTCCTCAGGAGCAGCAACCATGAGAGGGACTTAGGGGTGGTCATCGCATCGTCCCTCAAGACCAGAGGCCACACGGACAAAGTTTGTTCGTCAGCCTGGAACATCCTGGGTGAACCCCGCCGGTCTTTCGGACCACTGT